TTGTGTTGCAGAGAGATCCCGTTGCCTCCTTGTCGGAGAAGATCTGTGTTTAGATTACTTCTATGAAGGGCAATGTTAAAGATGTTGATGTGAGAATGAAACGCTACAAAACGCGGAGGTAGTGAAGCGACGACTGTTGGACTCGCTGAAACGATTAGTCTGTCAGCAGTAAGAGGCCATGATATATATATATATATATATATATATATATATATATATATATATATATATATGTACGTATATACCTAGCCCAGAATTCTAGTAGCCAGTAACTTCCTTTCGCCGATTTTCATGTTTTAAATGATTAAAGATTTCCAGATGACAGTGAGATTACCATTGACGGTTCGCGAGTTGAGAATTTCTAATATATACATCGCCACCATGGACTTCATATAAACTCATGTGAAAATTTAATAAAACTTAGATGAGCTACAGACCCAATTAAGGCATTTTCATAGCTATGGTTTTCAGGCGCAAATCGCAACCTCTTTTCAATTCAGCTTAGTTTTCAAATTTGAAACGTAATGATGCAGCCATGTTATAACAATACTGCTCCTGGCACATATGACATTGTGTTCACAGACGAGTTGTTTTCTGGTGAAGTGTCTATATATCTGGGGCATCTATACACCACTATACATGCGATTCATGTAGACATATACTATAGCAAAAATTATGTCGTTCCATGATCGAGAGTACGTTAAGTGCGTTGCGTCTAGATTCAGTAGAATTGTATCTTGTGTTAAAGATTATTAATTATTAACATCCGCCACCAATTCTACTGAACCTATCACTGAGAGTGTATCCTAAGCCCGTCCCAACGTTGCTCGTCGTTTCAAGAGTGATGTTATTTAAAATTATATGATAATAATTAAAGGGATCTTAATGAATTAATATGATATGCGCGGTTGGAATTATTTAATGGCCATGTAAATCACAATTCAGTGGTTGTGGATTTTCTAACTTTCAGATGCCTGCTATTGTCAAACAGCGCAGAAATAGCCCCTGTGTAAGAAGCCAAAAAAAAGAAACACTGTAGAAACTTGACTAAATAAGAATTAAAAATTAGTTCTTACTGCGTTTAACTGATAATAATACATTGATCAGTAAACAAACATAATTACTAATTAATCTTATAGCATAAAGGTTAATTAGTAAACAATATTCATGTTTTTCATTCATCGGTTTCTTTGTCTGCCTATATAGGTATAGGAATTTGCATTTTATGCGTAACTATGGCGGTCATCCTAACATTTTCCGATTTGTAAAACGAAGAGTGGCTCAAATAAATTCTGCATGTATTAAAACTAATAACACGTCTCAACAAAAAATTTCATAAACAGCTAAAACTATTCATCTACGGGTTATAACAAAGCAGCAAATAACAAAGAATTTGGATTACGCCTGTTACGCTTGAAATCAACTTGGATGAATGACGCTAACGTGTAGAATAACACTAGAAGCTCCCTAAGGCTAAATTAAAATAATTAGCAGCAAATAACATGATCCAAACGTAATGTGCTGTATTTCCGTGACCATTTGCAGACGTCGTCTACGCGCAGCTCAAGCGACGACTGTACGTGTCGTTGACACTTGAAGACGGACTAAGCACATCTTTGGTAGCTGGTGCAGTAATAACCGGAGGGCAGATACAGTGAGAAAGTGCGAACGCTAATTACAGCACTCCGCTGACACGAATAGAGGAAATTAAACGAAAAAAGTTAATAGCTACGGCGAGAGTGGTTAACACTGATGTTAATATCTGTCATTATCCCCCGGCAAAACTCTACAGGACAACAATGTTTGGTTTCCCGGCTGCCATGTAAATTCACTCCATGCACGGATCCGCTAAAGAAAGTTATGCGTGATGAATAAATATGTCGAGCTTGGAATCAAGAATGAAATTGTGCTCCGTTTAAGCTGAATTCCGAATTTCTATCCGAATTATTTTAAATAGAAAAAACGGGTGCCGTGTAAAATATTAATACTGTTCGTTGCATGTTACAGGCACTAATAAATGTTCGGCAGGGGCTACGAGCACGTTGGCGGCGACGATACTTATACAGGTAGGTCTACATTTGTTTTATCAAATGACACACATTTACATGCACTCATTACCGTGCAAATAGGTCAATTCACACAATAACTAACATCTTGCACAGACACCCTATACCTGCACCAAAGACAAGTAACTTATTCTCGTTAACCTTGTTTGCATGATGTATGAAGCCTATATATATATATCTATATATATATATATATATACAAGCTGTGACTCTTCTGCGGACAGAGCTTTCATTGGAATCAGAGGTGGATTCAGCTTGGAAGGTCCTGTGTAGTGTTGCAGCTGTATAGCCTGATTGGTTATGAGTCGCTGAGAGAATGCCTCGTGTTTCTTGACTCGAGAGATCGTGAGCTGCATTACACCAATGTTTCCTGTCTCGATGATGCCGGCAGGATGCTGGGTGAACTCCATGACCATGGTGTGGTTGGTTTTCATCCCATTTGGTCTCGTAATGTTCAAGTCGTAGTTGTCAGCCTATCTATATATACTATCTATGAACAGTGAATTTACATTAAAGTGTCTTATTTTGACCGTTGACCGTCATTTTGACCTTGACCTTGACCCCATATCTAAAAGATAACTCCAGAAATGGACTCCCTGCCCTCGAAAACCCCTAAAAAGAGGTATTGCATGAGACTCTAGGGCATCGAGATCACAAATTGTAAATTGACCAAAATCCAAGATCGACGGCGGCGGCCATCTTGAATTCCAAGAAATGCTCAACGTTGCACAGGTAGCAACCAAGCAAAATCAGCTCTCCTAACTATATAGAACACATTTCCATGAAGAAAGTTTAGAGTAATTAACATTGCAGGGTCAACATTTTGGCAACTGGACTATTAGTCTTAACATTAGACTTAACAGTACTATTTTCCTTAGACTGTAGATTTTATTTTGTAAATGTATGAGAAAATTTGCTTTGATTTATTATACTCGTAACTTTACGATGTTTCTGTCAACGGTCTAAGAGAAAATAGTAATGTTAAGAATAATGTTAAGATTAATTTCGTCTTTGATTATCCTACGAAATCAACCTGCATTTTGCTTAACGCTAGTCTAGATGAAAACGATGTTAGTCGAGCTCAAATATAAACTTGCTGAAATATCCTGACATCTTGTTTCTGTTTTTGGAAATTGTTGTACTAATTAAATAAATTAATACATTTTTTAATTGAACTTTCACATAAACTAAAGCAAATATTATAGAGTAGCGATCTCAAATCATTGGTTTTAGCCGATTTTTTATTGAGAGATTGCTAAACCTGGGTAAGAATGTAGCTGCTCGCTTTGTCATGGCTGTCACTCTAGAATTCTAACGAAAGTTCACACAAAAAGTAACCTCATGCTTCCGACTTGTTGTATTCAGTCATTATACTACTTTCACGTTGACATTTGACGTACCAAGTCGTTAGCAGTCGCACCTGGCTACTTATTACAGTCTGCTTTATCTGTCCTCACAACGTGCCGTCACCATAATTAAACGATATGCATGTTAATACTCTCTAATGTTTGTGTTGTCACGGATAAAATTGTTCGATCGAGTCTGAAAATAAATATAGTTGAGAGACTGTTTCATAACACTAACTGCGCGCTGATTGAAACAAAGCACGCATTATGAACCCATAGTGTGTGCAGTGTGCTCACAGGAGTGTACCCAGAGGCAATTTATGTTTACCTCTGCCTACTGTAACGGCAAACACTTACTAACACGAGCAGTTTGCTACTTCAGTTTTGTTATATCGTTGCTAATTTATTCATTTGTTTGTTTATTAATTAATTAATTAATTTATTTATTATATATCGTATTGAAACAGTTATATAGGCCTACATATTACTTTATTAATATTGCCTAGCCAAATTGTCTTGCTATTTCTCATTACTCGTTTTTTTGTTTCGTCATAAAACATATATACTTTTACGAGAATGAACTCTTTAGTATTTAATGTACGAAATAGCTTTTATTGTAGATTGTTATTCAGCACAAAATGTAAAATCTCAAGATTAAAGGGACACGATGTGGAATTTATGCGTTTCCAGGCACTCTCATGCGGCCAGTGCCCTTCCCTGCAGTGATTGACAGCTCGAGCTTGTGAGCGTTTCATAACAGCAACTCACATCACATATCACCAGGGGTAAATAATGACGAATTGTCATTTGTCATTATCGACCACTGATATTACTATACTTGACATTGATTTGTCGGCGCACATGTATATCAATATTGTTTGCTCTTGCCGGCCGCTGAAACATGCATGTACTTGCCGCACCTGTAAATATCAGAGCGAGAGGGCCTGAGAGCAGCTATATACCAGCTCGTGTCCTGCTGAATTGTCAAACTCCGTTACTATAGGTAAAGAAGCTTACGTCCGCTACGTACATGCAGTGTCCTTTCGGGAAAATATTTCGGAACGCAATATCGACGAGAAACGAAGGTTATATGGCAAGTAAACATACATATTGCATAATGTCGTCACGTATAATTTATCACATCTTGAAAGGTGAAACACTGATGGGTAATAATATTCGAACTCACCGTGGTTTGTTATGGCTGGATTTCTTTCTGTCTGGCTCCTTACTCTTTTGCTATCTAATGCAAGAAAACTACAAGCACATATAGGCCCTATGCGCGCGTTCTTCGATTTTGCAGTTTTCTAAAACGTCATATTATTGTCTATATTGGTAAATGCTTGTCGCAGGTGTCATAGGTCAGCCGAATCTGAGGCCACGCGCTACCGGCTTATGAGAACCGCTGGTGATCTTCTCGCGTCTCTATCTTGTTTGCAGACTAGACGTCATTTGGCGCTCGACGCGGCAAGTCGTGATCGCGTGTCGGTGAATGACGGTGGTGTGCAGTGATAAATTACCACTAATGGTAACTATATTCTTAGGGCGAAGCACCTAGGGTGAAACTATGCGGTAGTCGTAGGCAGACGAGCGCAGGTTTGCAGCATAAAAAAGAGTAGTTGTCAAAATATCCTGTGTATTTCCTAACAAATAACGAAAGGTTATTTTGGTATGAGATATTTTCATATATATCTATATCTATATAAATATATATCTATATATATTATCATCATAGCGTCCACAGCACACTCGCAGCGGCGAGTGCGGGAGCGTTCGGCGTTAGTTTTTACATAGGTTTTTATGAAGGAAAGTTGATATACAGTGTCGCAACAGTGGAACTGTAACAGAGGGGTACGGTAGATATATATATATAGGCTTCATACATCATGCGAACAAGGTTAACGAGAATAAGTTACTTGTCTTTGGTGCAGGTATAGGGTGTCTGTGCAAGATGTTAGTTATTGTGTGAATTGACCTATTTGCACGGTAATGAGTGCATGTAAATGTGTGTCATTTGATAAAACAAATGTAGACCTACCTGTATAAGTATCGTCGTCGCCAACGTGCTCGTAGCCCCCTGCCGAACATTTATTAGTGCCTGTAACATGCAACGAACAGTATTTAATATTTTACACGGCACCCGTTTTTCTCATTTAAAATAATTCGGATAGAAATTCGGAATTCAGCTTAAACGGAGCACAATTTCATTCTTGATTCCAAGCTGCGACATATTTATTCATCACGCATAACTTTCTTTAGCGGATCCGTGCATGGAGTGAATTTACATAGGCAGCCGGGAAACCAAACATTGTTGTCCTGTAGAGTTTTGCCGGGGGATAATGACAGATATGTAACCATCAGTGTTAACCACTCTCGCCCGTAGCTATTAACTTGTTTTCGTTTAATTTCACTCTATTCGTGTCATGCGGAGTGCTGTAATTAGCGTTCGCACTTTCTCACTGTATCTGCCCTCCGGTTATTACTGCACCAGCTTACCGAAGATGTGCTTAAGTCCGTCTTCAAGTGTCAACGACACGTACAGTCGTCGCTTGAGCTGCGCGTAGACGTCGACGTCTGCAAATGGTCACGGAAATACAGCACATTACGTTTGGATCATGTTATTTGCTGCTAATTATTTTAATTTAGCCTTAGGGAGCTTCTAGTGTTATTCTACACGTTAGCGTCATTCATCCAAGTTGATTTCAAGCGTAACAGGCGTAATCCAAATTTCTTTGTTATTTGCTGCTTTGTTATAACCCGTAGATGAATAGTTTTAGCTGTTTATCGAAATTTTTTGTTGAGACGTGTTATTAGTTTTAAATACATGCAGAATTTATTTGAGCCACTCTTCGTATTACAAATGTGGAAATGTTAGGATGACCGCCATAGTTACGCATAAAATGCAAACTCCTATACCTATATAGGCAGACAAAGAAACCGATGAATGAAAAACATGAATATTGTTTACTAATTAACCTTTATGCTATAAGATTAATTAGTAATTATGTTTGTTTACTGATCAATGTATTATTATCAGTTAAACGCAGTCAAGAACTAATTTTTAATTCTTATTTAGTCAAGTTTCTACAGTGTTTCTTTTTTTTGGCTTCTTACACAGGGGCTATTTCTGCGCTGTTTGACAATAGCAGGCATCTGAAAGGTTAGAAAATCCACAACCACTGAATTGTGATTTACATGGCCATTAAATAATTTCCAACCGCGCATATCATATTAATTCATTAAGATCCCTTTAATTATTATCATATAATTTTAAATAACATCACTCTTGAAACGACGAGCAACGTTGGGACGGGCTTAGGATACACTCTCAGTGATAGGTTCAGTAGAATTGGTGGCGGGATGTTAATAATAATAATCTTTAACACAAGATACAATTCTACTGAATCTAGACGCAACGCACTTAACGTACTCTCGATCATGGAACGACATAATTTTTGCTATAGTATATGTCTACATGAATCGCATGGTATAGTGGCGTGTATAGATGCCCCAGATATATAGACACTTCACCAGAAAACAACTCGGTCTGTGAACACATGTCATATGTGCCATGAGCAGTATTGTTATAAACATTGCTGCATCATTACGTTTCAAATTTGAAAACTAAAGCTGAATTGGAAAAGAGGTTGCGATTTGCGCCTGAAAACCATAGCTATGAAAATGCCTTAATTGGGTCTGTAGCTCATCTAAGTTTTATATAAATTTTCACATGAGTTTATATGAAGTACATGGTTGCGATGTATATATTAGAATTCTCAACTCGCGAACCGTCAATGGTAATCTCACTGTCATCTGGAAATTGTTAATTCATTTAAAACATGAAAAATCGGCGAAAGGAAGTTACTGGCTACTAGAATTCTGGGCTAGGTATATATGTACATATATA